GAGGCTGGGGGGCCAGGCCGAGGCCGGGGGAGCCAGGCCGAGGCCGGGGGAGCCAGGCCGAGGCCGGGGCCAAGTTGCTCCTCCGAGCACCCGTGGGGAGTCGGCTGAGGGACGGCGACGGCCTGGCCGAGAGCGCAGTGCCCGGAACAGATCGGCGCCCTGTCCCCGCGGTTCCACCGACGTTCAGCTGAGCGCCTAGACGTGGGGTGCACACTGTTGGGGTACCGTGGCGAATCGAGTAGACACGGTGACTGCCCTCGTGGAGTCGACCTTCATCTCCGCCTGCGCGATCGTGAACTGGCCGCTGCATCGTTATCTGGTGGTTGTGGAGATGCAGTGGCAGCGTATGGAAAGCGATGGCGTTATTTCCACTCTGCCAGACGGCCGTTACCACGTAGATACTGACCATAAGCATTCTAGAGGCTGGGGGGAGGAAGTCAGGTTCAAGATTCTGGGCTACCTAGAGGCCCTGTCTCAAAGCATCAACACCTAGCCTGTAGCTTAGCACTAACATGCACAAGAGCCTGAATCCAGTCTCCAGCACCAGAAAAACAGTAACAGCCACAGCTGGTATTGCAAGTACAAGACAGAATGCTATTCTGGGTACATGCTGTAATGATACACAGGGTGTGTCAGAGGACAGCATGGACATGTGTGTATCGTGAGCACGTAATATGTGCATAAATATAGGTTGTGCCTGCATTCTATGTAAACATGCCGCATACTTTGCTACTATCTGAGTGGCTCAACCTTTGTACCATTGACATTTTGAGTCCTGATAATTTTTTGAGGGTTGAGGATGTGCCCTGTAACACGTTAAATGCCAGTGTCACTTTCATCCAGTGGTAATTACTCAAACCGTGTATAGATATTGTCAAATATTCCTTGGAGTTCAAAGCACCCTCTGTTGAGAATAAAAAGTGCATTAGTCATACACAACGTAGTATAGGCATATGCCTTGAGACATATAAACTTTTAAAGTTTTGCTGGTGCTGGCCTCTCTAGGGTCTTGAGCACGCTGAGTACATATTCTTCCACTGAGACACACCCCTTTCCCATTTGCTCACGTGTTAGGTACTAACCAGAATGTTTTACATGTTTATCTTAAGCAATGGTAACACAAACTATGAGATACTTTGTCTCCACCTTGCAGAGAAGGTAGCTTAGGTGCAGGGAGAGTAATGTGCCCAGCATCTCAGTAAATGGACAAAATCCTTAAATCTCTTTACTAAACCTTCTCAATATGGATAGGAATTATGCATTATTCTAAACTGATTATTCTCATTGGCCAGCAGAAGTCACAGGAGATGCATGCACTAGAGAGCTAGAAAACTAGATTTGTTAGCCAGAAATGGACAAAGGGCTTTATTTTTTTTTTTTGTGGCTGCCAACTCCTATGCAAGTCTTCAGCTTGTCCCCATTTTCTTCCTCTTTCCTTTCTTCTTCCCTCCCTCCCCCACTCTGACCTGGAACTTTAGATCCTCCTGCCTCCTCCTCCTGACTGCTGGGATTACAGCCCAGCCCTTATTGTCTGATGTATCCACGTTATTCATCCTTTCAGCCCATGTGCTGAGCACAGGCTCTGGGTCTAGAAACCACTGAGCCTCAGGGAATAGATGTATGTGAATGTGAGTAGCATAAGCCTTGCTTCATTGTCTGATTTATGAAATAGCGACCCCTTCACATAACACCTTAATAATAGCAGTATAATTATGTGTATGTCTGTATATATATATATACATATATATATGCATATATATATATATATATGATAAGCCTTGTCTTACCATGCAAGGAGCAGATAAAATGTTTTCTGTAATAGGGTTAAGGGATCTACTGAAGGTATGAAGAAGGAGCAAGAGAAGTGAAAATTGTCTCAATCTGCTTGGGAAAAGAAAAAGACTTCTATTAGAGCAGATAAAAAGGCAAGGCTGTGAGGTAAATGTCAATGGCAACTCACCAGGCAGATAAAGCCCAGAAATGTGCCAAGCACAGCAGGTTCTGAGGCCTGGGGGAAGGGGAGGTCCAGGACTCTCCTGATCTGAAGAGCATGACTTGTGTCACGTGTCATGTGTCCATTAGTGGGAGTGTGGGGAGGACTGGCCTCAGGAAGGTACTTTAAACTTGGCCCTTTGGGACTCAAAGATTTTTTCAGCTCTTCCTCATACAAAATGTATCGAACTTTTACAGGCCTATAGTGTGGTGTTTTGTTTTGTTTTTGCCAGAACTGGGGCTTGAACTCAGCCTGGGTATTATCCCTTAGCTTTATTAGCTCAATGCTGGTGCTCTACCACTTGAGTCACAGCTCCACTTCTGGCTCTTTAATAGTTAGAGATACAAATCTTACACCTTCCTGCCTTGGCTTGTCTTTGGACCAGGATCCTCAGATCTCAGCCACCTGAGTAGCTAGGATCACAGGTGTGAGCCATTAGGCTTGGATTTAAATTAATTTCTAATAATCTTTGAAAAGGCATATCAACCTTCCAGCCTTTTTCCCCCCCAAATCACTCCCAAACTCAATACATTTCCAATTACCCAAGAAGTACATCATATCATTTTCAAGATTTACTACTGAAGATTCTTAGCTGAGTAGCATATGTCTATAGTCCCAACTCCTTGGGAGGCTAAGGTAGGATGATCATTTGAGTCCAGGAGTTCAAGACAAAGCATCATCTTAAGAAAAGAGTTCTTCCCATGTTTTTTTCTTTAGAGGCTTCATGAAGAAATGAAGCTACATGTCTCCAAGGAGCATTTAGACTTAGGCAGGCAGCAAGAGAAGCATTCCAGATCAAAGGGACAGCCTTTACAAAGACACAGAAGGATATCATGTGGGTTTTTTTTGTTGTTGTTTTGGTTGGTCGTGAGGACTGAACTCAGGGCCTGGGCATTGTTCCTCAGCTCTTCAGATCAAGGCTAGCGCCCAACCACTTGAGCCACAGCACCACTTCCAACTTTTTTTCTGTTCATGTGGTGCATCCAGAGCCTTGTGTAGGTGAGGCAAATACTCTACCACTGAGCCACCTTTCCAGCCCTTTTTTTTTGGTCAGTTGTAGGGTTGAATTCAGGGCCTGGGTGCTGTCCCTGAGCTCTTTTGCTCAAAGCTAGTGCTCGACTACTTTGAGCCACAACTCCACTTCTGGTTTTGGTTTTGTGAGTGGTGGAGGTGAGTTTCATGGGGACTTTCCTGCCCAGGTTGGCTTTTTTTTTTTTTTTTTGTCGGCCGTGGGACTTGAACTCTGGGCCTGGGCGCTGTCCCTCAGCTCTTCAGCTCAAGGCGAGTGCTCTACCACTTGAGCTACAGCACCACTTCCGGTTTTCTGGTGGTTTATTGGAGATAAGTCTCACGGTCTCTCCTGCCCGGGCTGGCCTTGAACCGCGATCCTCAGATCTCAGCCTCCTGAGTAGCTAGGATTACAGGCGTGAGCCACCAGCGCCCGGCTCCCAGGTTGGCTTTGAACCATGTCCTCAGCTCTCAGCCTCCTCAATAGCTAGGATTACAGACGTGAGCCACCAGTGATCAGCTCTGGTCCTTTTAAATTTTGTTAATGTGTCCATGCTGGCTTGGAACTTTAGGTCCTGCTGTCTTAGACTCCTGAGCAGCTAGAATGACCTCCACGTGCCACCAGGCCGTGCTTCCATGGGAGCTTTTAAATGGATTAAGATGGGACCAGATTTGCAGTTTTGCTCAATGCCTTTGGCCAGTGAATAGGAAGGAATTGGAAGGTGGTTTTCCAAGAAGCAGGAGACCAGCTGGGATCTGAGGATGGAGATGGCAGCAGGAGAGGAGGAAGGGGGATAGTTAGCAATTTCCAAGGGGAAGAACAGACAGCACGGAATCCCCACTTGGTGACTAAGGTAGAGAGGGAGGAGGCACGGAGGTGAATGGGGAGTGTGATAGTTGGTGTCCAGTTCCTCCCCCACGCCTCAGGATGGAAGCCTGGATGGAGGTGGTGCAGCCAAGCTGTGCCCTGTGTCCTTCTTCCTGGCAGCCTCGAAATCACTATGTACATAAGGCGGCTTTGCTGGCCCTCGCGTCTCCAGTGTGCATGGAGGGCAGCTGTCCTGAGACACGTCCAGTGCAGGCAGCAGGGAGCCCACCGATGGAAACATTTGGGGTGCGGTACCTACCGAGCGGTGATTTTTGACATGGGCGGAGTTCTCATTCCCTCTCCAGGGAAAGTGGCTGCTGGTGAGTTCTTCCTTTCTTCCTCTTTTGGAGACCAGGGGTGGGAAGAAGAGAACAGAGGGTGATAGGAAGACAGAGAAGGGATCTTGGGCAGCAGTGCACCCCAATGGGTAGTACTCTGGCCCTGAATCAAATTCCAAGCACCACTTCGTCTTGGAAAAGTTAGTTTCTCTGTCTTAGTTCCTTACCATTAAATAGCAATTTATATGATAGTAATAAGTTAATCGTGTGACTTAGCTTGGGACTTGGGGCGAGTTAAATGAAATAGTTCATAGGAAGCCCTACTTAGTCCAGAGAAGGCTTGTCTCAACCCATATTCTCAGTAGATGAGAATATGTTTATGTGTGGTGATTGTTGTGTTTAAGCACTTTACTCTAGGAACAGGACTACTTCTAGAAGCTTTTTTTTTTGGTCCTGGGCTTGATCTCAGGGCCTGGGTGATTTCTTTGACCGTTTTCAGCCCAAGGCTAATGCTCTATCACTTGAGCCACAGCTCAGCTTTTTTGTGTGTATGTGATTAATTGGAGATAGGATTCTCATGGACTTTCCTGCCTAGGCTGGCTTTGAACCTAAATCCTTAGATCTCAGCCTCTTGAGTAGGTAGGATTGTAGGCATGAGCCACTGGTACCTAGCTTACTTATAGAATTTTTTTTTTTTTTAACCAGTCCTAGGGCTTGAACTGAGAGCCTGGGCACTGTCCCTGAGTTTCTTTTGCTCAAGGCTAGTATTCTACCACTAAGCCACCTTCCTAGCCCCTACTTCTAGAATCTTTTTTTTTGGTCAGTTGTGGGGCTTGAACTCTGTGTTTGGGCACTGTCCCTGCACTCTTCAGCTCAAGGCCAGCGCTCTACCACTTGAGCCACAGTGCTACCTCTGGTTTTCTAGTGGTTTATTGGAGATAAGAGTCTCATGGACTTTCCTGCCTGGGCTGGCTTTGAACCCAGATCCTCAGATCTCAGCTAGGATTACAGGTGTGAGCCACCAGCTTACTTCTAGAATCTTAAATGCTGAGTGAACTCCCCCAGGAACACAAGGCTATGATCTTTCCTTTCCCCTACGCCTGCTGCCTAAGATACCCCATCAAACTCTGTTCCGTGGCTCTCCCTTTATCAGTCCAGTGCACTGGATTCATTTTGGTACCAGGTTCCAAGCCAGCCCAGGCTGAAAAATCCATGAGACTCTTTTATCTCCAGTTAACCAGTAAAAAGCCAGAGGTGGAGCTGTGGTTCGGTTCAAGTAGTAGACAGACAGCTTTGAGCAAAAAAGTCAAAGTGAGAATTTGAGGCCCTGAGTTCTGTGAAGACCTGAATTCAAGTCTCAGTACCTGTACAAAAAACAAATTACATCCTAGAAATATAATTATGGTCCTGGGAGTATCACTTAGTGGTAGAGTACCTGCCTAGCATGCATGAAGCTCTGGATTCCATTCCTCAGTACCACATAAAAGAAGCCAGAAGTGGTGCTGTGGCTCAAGTGGTAGAGTGCTAGCCTTGAGCAAAAGAAGCTTAGGGACAGTGCCTGAGTTCAGGCCCTAGTACTGGCCCCCCCCAAAATATATGTGTGTGTGTGTATGTATGTATGTATGTATATATATATGAATTTTATATATAACACATATAAAGGCTCAGCAACTGTATTATAATGAAAAAATAAAAACCTCAGTCTGTACAAAAAAATAGATATAATTATGTCCAGATGTTCCCAGAATCAGGTCTGTGACTACTTTAGTCTTGTGCATAGAAATCACCTTATTTATCTCACAAGGAAAGCAGCCCTGTGTGCCACGTGGCACAGTGCTGTGCTGCCATAAAGGATTACTGTAGCTTACAACATCAAGGGAGGAGGAGGAGGTGGTCAGAACCAGGCACAGTCCCTCAGGAAGCTCCTTATGTGCCAGGGCTGACTGAGTGACCTCATGTCATTGGTGTAGCCTGGCATTGCCTGAAGCCAGTGTAAGGCCTGATGCTCACGGGCTTATGCTCTCCATCATACAAAGTAGAATCTCTCCTTCAGAGGGCTCAGGTTGAGTTTGCACATCATATAGTCCCCTGAATCCCCAGTGACCCCTGTGTGGGCATCACCATGGTGCCATAGGACCTGGCATAGAAATTCTCCCAGCCCCTGAGTCCAGCTATGTGGGGATGTATCTCACTTTTGGATGTTTTACTTCCTATAAGAATGGGAGGTTCGGAACCAGATCCCTCCTGGAACTATACTGAAGGCCTTTGTCAAAGACGGTGAGGATGGGATCTGGATGAGATTTATGAGAGGAGAAATAAAAACCGACGATTTCTTACAAGAATTTGGGAGAGTTTGCTCTGAAATAGTAAGTAATAAAGATACTTTCTGTTTCCGTATTTGCCTTTTTTGCCTTTTAATGTAATACTCCACCCTGTTGATTAGCTTGAAAATATGAAAACCCAATAACCCATTATATGATTCTAAGCTATTTATCCCCCTCCCTAGGCACTCAGCTTTATACATGAATAAATAAAAATGTTCTTTCCTCAAAGCCATCTGCAGATATTGAAACAGGAGCCATCTGCATAATGGCTTTGATTCCCAAGCTTATGAAATCAATAGTAATATTGATCATTACCCTCATGCTAAGCTCTTATTTCTGTTAACTCACATAACCTTCACATAACTCTACTAAAATATAATTTAAAATGTAATAGAGGGCTGGGAAGGTGGTTCAGTGGTAGAGTGCTTGCCTTGCATGCATGAGGCCCTGGGTTCGATTCCTCAGCACCACATAAGCAAAAAGAAAAAAGCCGGAAGTGGCGCTGTGGCTCAAGTGGTAGAGCGCTAGCCTTGAGCTGAAGAGTTGAGGGACAGCACCCAGGCCCAGAGTTCAGGCCCCACTACCGGACCCAAAAAAACAAAAAATAAAAAAATAAAATGTAATAGAAAATTTCTGTGGTGTGGACAGATTATCCTACAAAAGTGTGACTTAATGTCACTTAAAAATTGTCAAGCCGGGCGCTGGTGGCTCACGCCTGTAATCCTAGCTACTCAGGAGGCTGAGATCTGAGGATCACGGTTCAAAGCCAGCCCGGGCAGGAGAGACTGTGAGACTCCTATCTCCAATAAACCACCAGAAAACCGGAAGTGGTGCTGTGGCAAGTGGTAGAGCGCTCGCCTTGAGCTGAAGAGCTGAGGGACAGCACCCAGGCCCAGAGTTCAAGCCCCACGACCGACAAAAAAAAAAAAATTGTCAAAATGGTAAATTTTATGTTATCTACACTTCCCACAATTAAAAAGAGTACCTAAATCTGAAAATCATGAAGCTGAATGAAGAAACTAGTCAGAAATTATGGTGTCACAATTCTAATTGAGCACTTCCAGCATACTCAAATCTATAGATATAGAAAGTAAATTATAATATATACTAATAAAAAAATCTTTAAAATTGGGCAAAGGAGCTAAGGAGAGACTTCCCAGAAGAGGAGGTAAGAATGGCAAAGAAACACATGAAGAAATGCTCATCAGCCCTGGCCATAAAGGAAATGCAAACCAAAACAACCCTAAGATTCCATCTCACCAAGTTAGATTGGCCATCATTGTGAATTCAAACAACAGTAAATGTTGCACTGTTGGTTGGGATGTAAAACTGATATAACCACACTGGACAGTAGTCTGGGGGTTCCTCAAAAACTAAATATAGATTTTTCCCTATAACCTGGCCATACCACTGCTGGGCATCTACCCAGAACATCACAAGCCAGGATACCCTAAAGACACCTGCACATCCATGTCCACTGCTGTATTATTCACAATAGCCAAGTTGTACAAACAGCCCAGATGCCTCACAATAGATGAGTGGATCCAAAAAAAAATGTGGTACCTAAACACAACGGAGTTTTACACAGCCATTAGAATATGTTATTTACAGGGAAATAGATGGATCTAGAACAAATCATGTTAAGCTCAGAGAGACAAAACAGTGCATGTTTTCTCTCATATGCAGAAGCTAGATCTAAAATACACTGAGCCATGATAAATTATACGGGACTAGGCCTACACACAGTGTGGTTACAGAGGAGGACGCTCTTGGGAGAGGAACACAGGCACACTGCCTGCGTGCATCTGATCATACAAAATTCTATTTATCAAAATGAACTCCAGGAAATGGAAACAAGAGGCTTTTTCTTTTTTGCTGTTTTTGTTTTCTTTCCTTTTTGTTCTGTTTGTTCATTTATATGTCTTTGGGTACAGGAATGGAGGGACAAATAGTGAACAAATCCAACAGTGGTACTCACTGGACACTATGTTGAAGAAGAACTACACAACTTGTGGGTGGGATGGAAGGGGAAAACTGGGAGAGCCAGGGAAGGGTGACATTGTTCAAAAAGAAATGTCCTCTTTACTTGACTTGTGTAGCTGTAACCCCTGGGTACATCACCTTTAAAAAAAAACTTTTTAAAACCTTTAAAGAAACTTTTTAAAAAATAAAAAAAAGGAAAGTAGATTTTTTTCTTTCCTTTTTTTTTTGGGGGGGTGTTAGTGGGGTTTGAACTCAGGGGCTTTCCCTTGTGTGGCTGATGTACTATCATTTGAACCATACCTCTAGCCCTGTGTTTTGCTGGTTATCTTAGAGATGGAGTCTCATGGACTTTTCTGCCTGGGCTGGCCTTGAACTGCCATCTTCTAGATCTTAGCCTGATTAGCTATAATTACAGGTGTAAGCCACCTGGAACTGGCTTGCTTTTGTTATGGTCTTTCTGCCTAGCCCAGCCTGGATCATAGTCCTCCTATATACTCTTCCCATGTAGTTGGGGTGACAGGTACATAACACTATGCCCAGCTTTTTACTAGTTGAGAGGAGTCTCTTGAACTTTTTTTAAAAACCAGTCCTGGGTCTTGAACTCAGGGCCTGGGCTCTATCTCTGAGCTTCTTCTGCTCAAGGCTAGCACTCTATCATTTGAGCCACAGCACCACTTCTGGCTTTTTCTGCTTATGTGGTACTTAGGACTTGAACCTAGGACTTCATGCATGGTAGGCAAGCACTCTACCACTAAGATACATTCCCAGCCCATCTCTTGAACTTTTTGCCTGAGCTGACCCTGTTTTTGTCTCTTGGGTCGTGAGGCTTTACAGGTGTGAGCGATTTCACCTGTCTAGCCTAACAAGGGCAGGGCTCTGAGTTCTAAACCTAGTACCACCACCAATAACAAAAGGATGAAAAAGGATTAGTGGTTTCTTGGACTCAGGGTGTTGGGTGTAGGGTAGTAAAAGTGTTGCACAATAATATGTTCATATTAAAAACCATAGACTAGTACACTTCAGATGGGCAGATTGCTATGTCAATTATATTTCTGTAAAGTCATTATGATATATAGGCATTTGTCTTGACTTTGCAGATTTTGGTGCATTGACTGATTTTGGTGCAGAGGTTGAAATTAAAAACAAGAACATTGGGCTGTAGCTCAGTGGCAGAGCACTTACCTAGCATACATGAGGCCCTGGGTTCAGTCCTTAGCACCAAAAAAAGTCAAGACAACTATAGTTTATAATGGGGATGCTAAGTAAAGGCAATATAAAATCATCAAATGCTTGTCCTCTAGATCATTAAAAATAAATTACTTCTGCTTAATATACTTTTAAAGTTTAATATATCTTCTTGTGACATTCTGGCTTTTTTCTTTTCTAAACTGTCAATCCATAAGTAGAGTAACTGCAGTATTGATATTCTCTAATCATTGTAACTTTGTGGGTTTTTTTTTTTAGTTTATTTTTTGAAACAGTCTTACCATGTAGCACAGATTGACCTTGAACTCATGATTCTGCCTCCATCTTACTAGTACTGAGATGATAGGTTTGTACCACCAAATCTGGATTCTAGTCTGTTTTTTTTTCTTTTCTTTTTTTTTTTTTTTTGTACTGCTCCATGGCCTAGGCTCAGCTCACAGCTAATGTTCTACCACTTGAGCCACAGCTCCACTTCTGGCTTTTTTTAGTGGTTAATTGGATATAAGAATCTCCTGGAACCGGGTGCCAGTGGCTCACGCCTGTAATCCTAGCTACTCAGGAGGCTGAGATCTGAGGATCATGGTTCAAAGCCAGCCCGGGCAGCAAAGTCCGTGAGACTCTTTATCTCCAATAAACCACTAGAAAATCAGAAGTGGTGCTGTGGTTCAAGCGGTAGAGTGCTCACCTTGAGCTGAAGAGCACAGGGACAGCCCAAGCCCAGAGTTCAAGCCCCACGACTGACAAAAAAAAAAGAATCTCATAGACTTTCCTGCCCAATCTGGCTTTGAACTGCAATCCTCTGATCCCAGCCTGCTGAGGAGCTAGGATTATGGGTGTAAGCTACTGGTGCCTTGTAGCCAGGCACAATGGCACCCACTTGTAGTTGTAGCTACACAGGAGCCTAAACAGGGGGATCCTTTGAGCTGCCTGTTTGGGGCTACTCTGGGCAACATAGTGAGACTGTCTCAAAAAACAACCAAATAAACAGAACTCCCCTCAAAATCATGTGTAGCCTTGTGCTGGTGGTTCACGCCTGTAATCCTTGCTTCTTAGGAGGCTTCTCCAAGTGTTGCTTTCAGAGCCAGCCTTACCTCCAATGAACCACCATAAAACTGGAAGTGGCACTGTGGCTCAAAGTGGTAGAGCACTTGCCTTGAGCAAAAGAGCTCAGGGACAGCGCCCAGGCCCTGCGTTCAATCCCCACAACCAACCAGAAATTTTTAAAAATCACATGTGGAATTCAGCGTGTAGGTGAGGAGCCAAGGGTCATGAATTGAGGCTCATCAGGGCTCCTCCCGCTTTATGTCTGCAGTCAAAGACCACTGTGCCGGTGGACTCGTTCTTCTCTCTGATGACCAGCAAGCAGATGGCAAGGCCATTCCCAGTGATGACCCAGGCCATTTCTCAGATCCGGGCCAAAGGTCTTCAGACCGCAGTCTTGAGCAATAATTTTTATCTCTCCAATGGGAAAAGCTTTTTGCCCCTGGACCGGAAACAGTTTGATGTGGTAAGCTGAGGGGAAGGCTGTGGAAACAGGGTCTCACACTCACCCCAGGATGTAACATTGGATGCTGCTTGTGTGCAGCTCTTAGCTTTGACTGAGATCGGTGTTGGGTTGAAGCGGAGCTTTTACAGTGATAACTCAGCCCACACATCTGAAAGGCTTCTCTGACCTTTCCTGAGACCAACTAGAGTCATTTATGTATTTAGGTTTTATTTCTGTTTATTTTCTAATAATGTGCATTGATTGCACATTGTTTTATTTCTACACATGCAAACAATATACTTTGATCAAGTTCATCTCAATTATTCTTTTGTATCTACCCTTTCATCTTTTCTTCTTTTTTGGTGCTGGTTCTAGGCCTTGACTCAGGGCCTGGGCTTTTTTTTTTTTCTCAAGGCTAGCTTTCTATTACTTGAGTCACACCTCCGTTTCCGGCTTTTCTGGTGCTTAATTGCTTGGGCTGGCTTTGAGCCTTGATCCTCAGATCTCAGCCTCCTGAGTAGCTAGGATTATAGGTATAGACTACAGGCATGGCTCCTTTTTTAAAAACAATTTTTGTGTTTTATGGCTTTTATTGTTCTGTTTTCATACATACATATAAAGTACTTCTGGCATATTGGTCCCCTGCATCCTTTCCTTCCCTGCTTTGCCCTCTGACCAGTCTTCCCCAAAGCCCTCTTTTATCAAGACCAACCTGATTGCCCTGTTTTTGTGGTGCTAATTCCTGCACTACAATTTGGTACACGTGTCCTTTAATGTTTATGACATAATTTAGACACATCTGGCTTTGTGTAGATGTCTATTTATGTCTTACATAAATAGGATTGACCCTTTAGGGGATGCAAAGCCCACAGTGGCAAGAGGGTTTCCAGGGCCTTCTACAGGGAAGATGGGAACCCTCTCACCTGTCTAGCCAAGAGTTACGGCCTCTGGAACACACCAGAGAGAATTTCTCTGGCAACTTAAGTGTTTGACATGTCATTTCACAGCATCATCTGTTTCTTTCCACTCTGGGAGCGGCATTAGGTGTGCTTCTAGGAGGTGGCATGTCCCCTCTGCAGCTTCACTTCTGCTCGACGTCACCATCGTGGGTGACAGGACGAAGTGCTGACATGCAGACAGCGAGGAAAGTGTTTGTGTGGCCACAGTGTCCAATATAGAACCCATGTTTGTCCCTCGGTTTGTAGCCCTGAATTTCCAGCTTATGAAGACAGCGCCATTTTATATCACAGCACTGTGAGCGGTTTGAGATTTAAGACAAGGTCTCACTAGATAGCACAGTCTGGCCTTGAACTCACAATCCTACTGCTTCAGCCTCCCAAGTGCTGGGATTATAGATGTGCACCACCATGCCCAGCTAGTACAGTACACTTTTAAGTTACATATTTCAATAAAACTCACGTGCCCACTTTCTGCGCTTTATCTCAAGAAGCATGTCAGAGCTCTTCCTTTAGGGGCCCCGCTCCCCTCCCTAGGTGGTGGAGTCCTGTGTGGAAGGCATCTGTAAGCCGGACCCCAGGTTGTACCAGCTGTGTCTGCAGCGCCTCGGCCTGCAGCCCTCTGACTCCATCTTCCTGGATGACCTGGGACCAAATCTGAAAGCAGCTGCCAGCCTGGGCATTCATACCATCAAAGTAAGAGTCACTGTGCTTTGAACCCCCGGCCAGACACCAGGACTTAGTGCAAGCATCCCTGGGGCGGGGGGGTCCTCTTACATTTGTAGCTGTAGGTTACTTTCAGAGCTTTCCCCACCTCATTGTTTAACCAGTGAGGAAACCAGCATGACCCGCTCCTTGCGTTTCAGCGGCAACGAAGCTGCTCTGTACGAAGAAGGCTGCTGGAGTAAAGAGTGCCAGGCATCTAGACTAAGCCAGGCTTTTCTATGATGGGAGCCAGCGGCTGCCAGGCACACGGGCTGCCCTGCCCCCCTCCCACCGCCCCTCGCCCTGGCCCAGCCCTGTGCGAGGGTTCCCTGGCTAGCCTTTTTACATTTGGATTTGTATGGTTAAGCTGAGTTGCTGGAGGGACAGAGCCAATGCTGTGTCCTAGTCATCTGCTCTCTTGGCACGAAATGTCTTCTAAACTCTTATGTAGGGTCTCCCTACATAGCTCAGGCCAGTCTGGATGCCCCTGCCTCAGCCTCTGTGGGCTGCTATTACAGGTATGCACCACTATGCCCGGCTTATTGTAAGCTTTTAAGCAGCACTCTTCTGTGCATGTGGGAAGTTGAGAGTGGTTAGGAATTACATTAAAGAGAGTCAAACAGAAGAGGACAGAATCTGTTTCTTCATTAGCTGAGTGTGCTGGCTCTAGAGCCTTCCTCAGAGGACTGACTCCTTGGGTGTTTCTCCTGAGGATCGGCTCTGGGAGAGACAGGTGAAGATGGACAGGGCTCACCCCCATGAGGTTGAGATTCTCTTCCAAACCAGGTCGATGACCCAGAGACTGCAGTGAAGGAACTGGAAGCTCTTCTGGGTTTTCCATTGCGCATGGGCATTCCCAACACACGTCCTGTGAGGAAGAATATGGAAATTCCAAAAGATGCCTTGCAGACATACCTCAAGAACTTGCTGGGGAGCGGAGGCCCAGGTATGGAAGGCCGTGGGGGTTTGTGGCCCTGTGCGCAGCCAGGCTTCCAGGCTGCTGCTCACTTTCAACCCCTGGTGGGCTGGCAGGGAAGAGCCCTGCTTGCAGTTTTGTGTGGGGAAAGTAGCAATTTCCTTTCTCTTTCCTTTTTGTCTTTCCTTTTCCCCCTTTTTATTTCTTTCTCCTTTTTCTTTCTCCCTTTCTCTTCCTTCCTTCCTTGCTTCCCTCCCTCCTCCCTCCTTCTTTCCTTCCATACTAGGGCTTGATTTCAGGGCCTGGGCATCATCCTTTAGCTTTCGCACTCAAGGCTGGTGTTCTATCACTTGAGCAACAGCTCCATTTCCAGCCTATGCTGGCTTTGAACTGTGATCCTGCGATTTCAGCTCTTAAGTCACTAGGCTTACCGTACCCGGCTTACAAGCGCCTTGCTTTGGGATCACAACAGTACACTGTGGCTCAGCAGCACTGTCCTGCAAACTGCCCTAGAGGAGGAAAGGAACTTGGGGGCTACCGTTTGTGCTCAGGGTAGTTGGGAGTTTGTCAGTTTTTTTTTTTTTTTGGGTCCGGTCGTGGGGCCTGAACTCTGGGCCTGGGCACTGTCCCTCAGCTCTTCAGCTCAAGGCTAGAGCTCTACCACTTGAGCCACAGCGCCACTTCCGGCTTTTTTCTTTTTGCCTATGTGGTGCTAACGAATCGAACCCAGGGCCTCAAGCATGCAAGGCAAGCGCTCTACCACTGAGCCACCTTCCCAGCTCAGTTTGTCAGTTTTTGAGGCGACAGCTGGTTTGGTGGAGGTGAGTTCTAAGTTGATGATTTAAAAAAAAAAATCAACAAGCTGGTGCCACTTTGTCTGGACTCTTTCTTTACACTTCAGCTCAGACAAGCGGTGTACCGATGCTGGGCAGAGCTTCCCACCTGTGACTCAACTCTGCTTGATCCTTACAAGAGATCCACGCTTGGACGTCTCCCGGCGATTACAGCCGTGGTGTTCCTTTGGTTCTTGTGGGGACCACACTGGCTGTTTCCAGCCTGCTCTCTCTGACAGGAATCTATGTAGGGCTCGGTGTTGTCATGAGGCCAAGTGTGGGTGAGGTCCACTTCCGCCAGGAGCTGGCAAGCAGGCCACAATCCTGGAACTTTGGCTGGTGCTGAAGACACAACGTGTAGCTGACACATTGGTGTTGGGCATGGTTTGGTTGAGTGGGGTGAGGGACACACCTGGGCACTTTCCATCCTTGTGGCCAGCTGGGTTGCCATGTGTGTGCTGTAGTTCACGGGGCAGGAGCCGGCCAGGGGGACGATGCGGAATACCAGGCAGCATGGGAAAATGACCAGGTACAAAGGAAGTGGTCTTTGCCATGCTGTGGTGACCTCTGACTTTGCCCCACGCCAACAGGGTGTGGCTGGGGCTCAGTTGCCTTACCCAAGGAGGAGGTTTCTGGCTTTTTTTTTTCTGCACTGCTTCAAAGATGATGTTCTGTACCCCAAAGGCAGAACTCAGGGAGAAGGGGCATCTGTCCACATCTGGCTCCAGCTGTGCTCTGAGTGTTGTTTGGAAACTTGCAGGTCCTTTAGAACTCCTACAGTTTGATCATGGACAGTCAAATCCAACTTACTACATCAAGTGGGCTGACCACCAGCTGGTTCTGAGGAAGAAGCCTCCAGGGGCTCTCCTTCCGTCTGCCCATGCAGTGGAGCGGGAGTTCAGGTAAGTTGGGGGGCGGGTAAGAGTGTGCAGCCCTGAGACCATAGGTGAGTTTCTGTGAAGGTGCCATGTAGTAGTATATAAATCTGCATTGTAGCCAGGAAGCTCAGTCAAGCCTGTAATCCCAGCTACGTAAGAGGTAGAGATCAGTGGATTGTGGTTTGAAGCCAGCTTGAGCAAAGAGACTCCATCTCAACCAATAGCTCTGGGTGAGGTGGTGCACACCTGTTATTTCAGCCACCAGAACAATGGCTGGGCACAGTGCTGCACACCTGTCTTCCCCAGCAACCCAGCAAAGCATAAACAGGAGGACCACATTCCAGGCTGGCCCCGGCATAAAGTAAGACCTTACCTCAAAAATAACATGCAAGCTGGGCACCCGTGGCTCATGCCTGTAATCCTAGCTATTCAGGAGGCTGAGATCTGAGGATTGAGACTGGGAAGGTGGCTTAGTGGTAGAATGCATGCCTAGCATGCATAAAGCCCTGGGTTTAATTCCTCAGTACTACGTAAACAGAAAAAGCCCAAAGTGGTGCTGTGGCTCAAGTGGTAGAGTGTTAGACTTAAGCAAAAGAAGCTCAGGATCAGTGCCCAGGACCTGAGTTCAAGCCCCAGGACTGTCCAAAAAAAAAACCTAAAAAAATAATAAAATACCTTGAATGTTCTACAAATGTCAGTCGAGTCAGCTATTGATAGCTTTGTTCAGCTCTATGTCTTTACATAAATCTAACTTTGGTTCTATGGCTACTGAGAGGGATGTTTCTCCTCAGTTGTGATCATTTTTATGTATTTTGAAGCTGTATCGTTATGCACATATGCATTTGCTATTATAATGTCTTGTTTGTAATGTCCTCTTTGTCTCTGATAATTGCTCTCACTTATTAGACTTTTCAGCTGCATGGTACTTTCCTTTCCGTCTTTTTATTTTCAGCCTATCTATGGTGATTTGTTCTTTTTTTTTTTTTTTTTTTTTTTTTTTTTTTGGTCAGTTGTAGGGCCTGAACTTTGGGCCTGGGCACTGTCCCTCAGCTCAAGGCTAGCGCTCTACCACTTGAGCCACAGCACCACTTCCAGCTTTTTCTGCTTATGTGGTGCTGAGGAATCGAACCCAGGACCTCATGCTTGCAAGGCAAGCACTCTACCACCAAGCCACCTTCCCAGCCCTGGTGATTCGTTCTATACTGTTTTGTGTTTTTCTTTTTCCAACCCTAGGGCTTGAACTCAGGGCCTGTTTGCTGATTCTGAGCTTCTGTTGCTCAAGGTTAATAGTGTTCTACCACTTGAGCTACAGCTCCAATACTGGCTTTTTCTGAGAAGTTTTTTTTTGTTTTTTTTGGGTCCGGTTGTGGGGCCTGAGCTCTGGGCCTGGGCGCTGTCCTTCAGCTCTTCAGCTTAAGGCTAGTGCTCGGCCACTTGAGCCACAGCGCCACTTCCGGCTTTTTTCTTTTTGCTTATGTGGTGCTGGGGAATCGAACCCAGGGCCTCAGTCATGCAAGGCAAGCGCTCTACCACTGAGCCACCTTCCCAGCCCCCAGCTTTTTTTCTTTTTGCTTATGTGGTACTAAGGATTCGAACCCAGGGCCTCATGCATGCAAGGCAAGCGCTCTACCAGAGCCACCTTCCCAGCCCCTCTGAGAAGTTTTTTATATTTAATTTTTTGTTGGTTGGGGGGCTTGAACCCAGGGTCTGGGTTGTCTCTGAGCTCTTTTATTCAAGACTAGTGCTCTGCCACTTGAGCTACAATGCCACTTCTGGTTTTCTAGTGGTTAAATGGAGATAAGAGTCTCACAGACTTTCCTGCCTGGGCTGACTTTGAACCATGGTCCTGATCCTCAGATCTCAGCCTCCTGAGCTAGGATTACTAGCATGAGCCATGGGTCCCCTGCTATATTTTTTAAAGTATTCCTTTTGTAGACCTCATATAGTTAGGTCATGTTTCTATTCAGCCTGACAATTAAGCTATTAAATTTAATGAAATTGCTGATATTTTCTTGTTTTGTGTTTTTCTTACCTACTTTTGGGTCCCTTGAATATTTTTTAGAATTTCATCTTAGTCTTTGCACGTCCCTTGTGTGTATATGTGTGTGTGTGTTGTTGTTGTTGTTGTTGGGAATCCAACTCAGGGCCTCCTGATGCAGCTCAAGCACCATACCACTAGGTTACAGCCCAGCTCCAGCGGACTGTGTTGTAAATCAGAAAAGCAATCTGCAGAGGCTCATCAGTGTTTCCCTCGCAAAGCTCATTTTTCTTTGCTCTGGCAGAATAATGAGAGCCCTGGCAAAAGCTGGAGTGCCTGTCCCCACTGTTCTGGACCTCTGTGAAGATTCGAGGTAAGGTTCACATGGTTCAGCGACTGTGTATCCAAGTGAAGAAGAGAAAAGCCCCTTCACTGGCTCAAGTGCCATTTTGGTAGAGATAAAGCAAGTACAATTTGGGTGGGAGAGAAAAGACTCTATAGCCACTTCGCTCAGAAGTTTCAGATCTTTAGGTTACCCTAGTACACATGTGCGCATGCACCAGTACTGGGGCTGGCACTTAGGTGCTATCCCTTAGATTTTAGCACTCAACACTGGCACTCTGTCACTTGTGTCACACTTCTACTTCCAGTCTTTTGCCAGTTACCTGGAGGTAAGAGGCTCAGACTCTAAACACCCTGTACTTATGTGTAGAGGGACCAGGAAATGTCTAGTATGGCCAAGGTGAGCTCTTCCTGGGCACCATGCCTACACTTGGCCCCTGAACGCCTCTGTGTCTCCCCTGCCCCCCAGTGTCGTAGGCACACCCTTCTACTTGATGGAATACTGCCCAGGTCTCATCTACAAAGACCCCTCCCTGCCAGGCTTGGACCCAAGCCATAGACGAGCCATCTACACTGCCATGAACAAAGCTCTGTGCACAATTCACAGTGTGGACCTGAAGGCCACAGGGCTAGAATTCTATGGGAAACAAGGTGAGAAGCTGCTGGGCCTCTGCAGTTAGGGTCTGGATGGTAGCCTTGAACTCTGAGGCCTTGCACTCTTGCTCGGCTTTTGCACTCGTAACTGATGCTCTATCACTTGAGCCACACCTCCAATCCATCCATCCACTTTTTATAAAATTAATGCATGTGAATTTTAGGTGTTTCTCATTCTGCTACCTGTTTCCTTCCTCCCTTCCTTCGCCCCTCTCTCCCTGTGTCCCTCCATCCTTCCCAGACAGAGCCTCACTGTTTTCTAGGCTGGCTTTAGCCTCCTGAGTAGCTGGTACCCAAGGCTTTACATACTTTATCATCCCAGAAACTTAGGAGAATCATTTCATGGATGAGAAAGATAAGGCACAGAAGGGTTAAGTCATTTGTCTGCTTGTCTGGCTGCAGAGTTCATGCTCTTAGTTGGCCATTGTTGTTTGGACAAAAGGGACTGACTCTAGGCTATTAGGAAGCTTACAAAGTGTGCAAGATGGCCGGGGCTCACTAGGAAGGCCCCATGGAGCATACAGAACCAAACAAGGCAGACGCTGACATAACACTCCAGTGTTTCTGAGGGTTTCACCACCCTGGCTAGTTTTCAAAGCCTTTGGAGGTTGCTGGCACCGCAGGTTCTAACCGTGGTCCCCACAGGGGACTATCTTCCCCGCCAGGTGCAAACCTGGACCAAGCAGTACCGAGCCGCGGAAACCACCACCATCCCCGCCATGGAGAGGCTCATCCAGTGGCTGCCGCTCCACCTCCCCCAGGAACAGAGGACCACGGTGGTGCATGGGGACTTCAGGTGGGCACATGTCAGGGAGTGGAGTACTAGATGGGAAAGATGATGGGCAGGGCCCTGGAAGAGGGAAATCAAACCATGGGCCATGGTCTATTTGACAGAAGGAATTATTCCTCTTACCTCATGCTTTGTCAGCCTTGACCCTAAGGCATTTGGGGGGAGCTGCTCTCCGTGGTGCCTTCTCCCCACTTCCAAGTTGTAACCACTAGAAGCACCTTAGACAGTGTCCCCTGGACTTCTTGGCTGGTGGCTCATGGCTTTGAAGGAAGCCTTGTCACCTTTCCAGACCCAACCTAGACCTAGGAGTCCCCCTGCATCCCTGCTCCTTACCGTGTATTTGTTAGGAACCAGGGGCCTCAAGAGGCGAGGCATTAGGCTGGAATTTTTGTGGCATGATCATCAAGGACTTTGCACATCTGCTTTCGAGTCGTTGGAAGGTAGCTGTGGGGAACGGGCTGCCTGGCCAGCGCTGTGGTCCACAGTAGAGGAATTCTGCCACCCTCCACCCTCTGCCCAAAGGAAGCTGGGCAAATAACTGGTCAGGCAATCTCCCGCCGGTGCCTCTGATTGGCTGAGTACAGTGGGAAGTCAGAACACCAGGTGACCCCGCAGTCCACACTCCCAGCACGGTCCAGGGCAGGCGGGGTAGGGAGGGTGCTTGGAAGAACAAGTGGACCGTGCTGGTACAGAGCACACCCTCGGGCGGAGTCCCCAGAGCCATCCATCTCATTCCCATGCGGCTTTTCAGGCTCGACAACCTGCTGTTTCACCCAGAAAAGCCAGAAGTGCTTGCTGTCCTGGACTGGGAACTTTCCACCTTAGGTGACCCCCTCTCAGATGTCGCGTACAGCTGCCTGGCTCACTACCTGCCGTCCAGTTTCCCACTGCTGAGAGGTAAGAATGGCCCCGCCTGGGAGCCAGCCAGCCCAGCACTGGGAGCTAGTCTGGCCGAGGGACAACTGGACTAGGTATGACCACACAGTCCTGGGCTGGGTGTAGAAATCATGTGCTGGGGTGAGTGGGTGTACGAGGCATGGCAGGGGACCAGTACGCCTGCCTAAAGCCCTCCTGCACATGCTCACACATGGCTAATTTCTACTTGATTTTTATTTTTATTTTTTTTTATTTTATTTTATTTGTGAACATACTGTACAGAGGGGTTACAATTGCATGGGCAGGATAATGCGTACATTTCTTACCAAGCATTGCAGCCTCCTCCT